AAGAACAACATTAACAACAGGAGGATGGAGGACGCTGTGATCGGAGCTGTGTTTTTGTTGTGTCTCGCAGGTTTCACAATAATGGACATGGAAAGTCGACGTATATGTAAAGCGATTGAAAGAACAGAAAGGAGGACTAAGAATCTGTACAACTGGCAGTGCTACATTTGCTACAAGTGCCTGCACTTCAGCGTCCGTCCATCTATCGCTGTTCTCCATACTTGCGAAATAAGTTGACACAATGTTTACAGTATGTTTACACGGCGTTTTAAATCATGGCGGGGGAGGGCGGTTTCATACGCGTTTGGCCAATCAATGTCTACTTACGTCACGATTAGTACCAGTTGTGCTGGTTAGACCCTGCTCCGGAGTAGGAGCTAATTTGGCTCTCGAAAAAGGCAGTCCGGTGCTAAAATCGCACCCAGTTCCAGCGGTGCGAAAACGCCAAAACGTGGGTAGTTCCACAATTAGTTCTGGTACTATGAAAAGGTTCCCGCGGTGCGAAAGGCCCTATTGGTACCGGGTTTCGGTACCCAACCCTAGTTATCCAGGATACAGATAACCATCTTTGGCTGCTCAAGAAGTAGTTTTAAGGTATATTTTGACATATATATGTACTTGTCCTATATATCTGGCTGTTTTGTTTGTTTAAGGGATTAGTGGTTAATTTTTTGACTGCCCCCCATCATTCCGGCTTGGTCCCCTCAGCATTGTGTTTGCGGTGTTGTCTGGATTTTACAGGCAGATGCTCAATATCAGCGGTCAACCTGCCCAAACATGTGGATTCAGTCATAAACAAGCGGCTCTCCAAATCTTCTGCCACTCTCTGGATGTCCCCTAGCAGAAGTAAGGACACGCCTCCGGATCTAGCCCCTCCCTCACATCTTCACAGGCTCCTCCCTTCACATAATTATGAGTTTCCATTTTATCCCACCATCTTTGATTTCTCCCTTGAGACCAATCACCTGCTCGTCCTCCGTGATCATTCAATCATTCCCTCCTTCCAAACTGTCTCCTTGTCAATGTCTTCAGTTCGACCGAATTTGAATTTTTAAATCTTCATCGTCTTTCACCGTCAACCGTCCTCAGTGGTGTTCTGTTTTTGTTTTGTTATTTTTGATGGTGGTTTTCTCTGTTCCTTTTTCCTTTTTCTTGATGTAACTTCTTTGAAGGTGAATACTTGCATACTTCTCCATACCTTCACCTGCATATGATGCATGATGATACTGTGGTCCCAGAAAGTATTTGGACACTTACACCACGCTTAAAATGTATGAATTTTACAGAATAAAAAATTGATGCTAACACTTTTTTTTTTTTTAGAACAAACTATTATTTTCTAAGTGTCCGAATGCTTTTCTGTTTGAACAATATTATGTATTGTTTTTTGGTAACACTTTACAATATTGTTTGTTAATGATATTTGTTAAAGCATTAGGTATCATACATTTTTATAAAAGTTTTACATTCTTTTATTAATCTAGGTTTGATTTGAATTACATTTGATTTCATTTTTTATTTTTTTTTTATTTTAGATTTTTTAAATTGCATTCAAACTGTGTGCAAAATTAATATTAAAAGACATGAATAAATATAGTAAAAATGTTTCTTAGTTTTCTCACTTAGTTTCTTATTTCTAATGCATTAACTAATGTTAAAGAATTTAAGCTTATTGTAAATTGTTACCATTTTAACTTTTAAAACCTAACAAACATCTTTCTGTGAAATGTTTAAAGTGTGCTTGTGCTATATTTCTTTGAAATCAGTGTCCATTGTTTTGATGTTTTGTTGACATAAGTGTCTGAACATTATTCAAAAAGAGAAATGTTTTGAGGGTTTTAAATTCCACACAGAAGGGCCATTTTTCAGTGAATTGAGTACTCTAGTTTATTATTTCTTTCCCAAAAATGGCCAGTGCTTCTTTTATTGCATGCAGGGTTCCCACGCTTCTTGAAAGTACTTGAATTTCAGCCATATGGATTCAACTCCTTGAAAGTGCTTGAATTAAATTTGAAATAAATTTTGTTTATGGCGCTATTTAAAAAATTATCTTATATGTTCTGTCAAAGACAACGAAATGGCAATAATTATTGGGGGTGGTGGGGTAGAGTGAAAAAAAAAAACTTGTGTGTTGTTGTGCAGCGGGACAGGTTTCTTAAGCCCGCTCCCGCTGAATTTCTGACCATTACCGCCCACTCCCACAACGTGTGTGTCCCGCTACCGCTCGCATAATTCACAGTCAGGTAATTAGCAGAGAACACAGAGCAGGTCTTGAATTTCGGCACGGGATTGCGGCTATTAATAATAATTGTACTCATTCCCGCAGGTTCTGTGCTTATAACGCGATGACAGATGACGGAACTTATTATTCGCACGTGCTTTTGAGTCTTGAGAACTCACTCGCGCGCTCTCATTTTCTGTGCACCCACAGATCGCGATAAGAAGAGTGACAGCTTTTAATAATTATTAAGGGAGTTTGCAAATGTGATATTGATTTAATACAA